CCCCAAAACCCCAAAACCCCAAAACCCCTCTAAATTAATAATTATTCAGACATATGAAAGGTAATCCTTGTTGCTGGATAGCTAGGTTTAAAAGGATCTAGATCATTTGGAAAGCCCTAGAGCCTACAGATAGTTTAATTATCGCTCTGATTTTAACCCTTATTTTATAGCTGTAGTTACACGAATCAGTAAGAATCGTACAGACCATTTTCGGTCAGTCCAACCAACAAAAACTGATAATATTGAGCTTGAAGAAATTGCTACTACATCGATAAAGAAGAAAATTTTACCTTTGAAGACTATTTATAAGAAACATCGGGAGAAACTGAAGAATCCTGAGTCAATGATGGCCAACAAGAGACTGAAGAGGTTTAAAAAGAGGATGAAAAACAAAGAACAGCTGCTAAGTTCTCTCTTCTATGATCCCTTTAAGCCACTAAACTTAAAGTCAAGGATCTTGACCCAATATGATAAGCCCTTTGCTTACTCTTCTACTGATGGGCTACCTGCTCTGAGAAGGCAGAATCAGATCAACCTGAAATATTTCTGATCCCACCAAAAACTGAAATCTAACCCAAAATTTGGTTCGAGTAAAGTATTAAGGAAAGAAGTTTATTCTCAAGGTAAATTTCTATTCATGAATTTCTTAGTCTCGTACTCAAAATTATTTCTTTAAAGTTAAAGCTCTCTCGAAGAGTTAATAGTTCTAGACTGTCTCTTATAGCACGAATTGCATTAGGAAGAAGCTGCATGTTCTGGCGGATGTTACCATTGAGCTTTAGAATCATCCTGCAGAAATTAGAGTTTCTCCGCTAATAATTTTTATTTTCTTAAAGCTTATACTAGTTGAAACCTTCAGAGAACATCTGAAATTGAACAATATTGCTGATTCATTGCACTAAAGTATCTTCCTGCTTTAAAAGTCGGAATAATTTTGGTTATTTGAATAAAGTCTGTAGAGGTTAAGAAGCAAAGGGGTATCCTGCACATAGTAACAAGATTGGCTACTATATTACTAAACCTGTATTTATATAACTAAAATTTTGATAAATTTCGAGAAAAATCTCGGTTGAGGAGTCGACCTAACCAAATGTTTCGGGTGCAGTCTTATAAAAAGAGCAAGTGATTTTGCTAAATATGAACTCTAGACATTATAAACTAATTACCTTGATCCTCTAGTATATTTATTAATCGATGATTTCTTATGTATCTTCTTGAACTATATATTTCTCATCAAGTTATTAATATAAATCTGAGCCCTCCCTTACAAGTTTTGATACAGAAATAATGCAGTTCTACCATATTAGTACCCATATTGTTCTCTTCCCTGTCGCTCTTAACCAAAAAGGAAATATTTACACAGATTGGTGACATTGTTATAATTTTGAGACATTTTTACGAAAATTTCGAATAGATTTCAAGGTACACAACGAGGAGAATGATAATGACAGCGTTGTATCGAAATGATCTGATGAATTTGGATCTCCTGAGCCGACTAAAAATTATGTCAACACATTTTTAAAGAGGTCAGACAAAGCAATTGGAATTAATCCAGTTAATGAAAAATCTAGAAATGAACCTCTGCTGTTGGTAAGTATTCATTAAATTAAAACTTGAACAAGTTATGACCTCTATAGAATGCACTCACAAATGTTGACTCTATCTCAAACACAGCTAGTACTAAAAGACCGAGCTCCAAAACAGTATGAACCTATAAGCCTAATCTTCCAAAACCTAGCAGGATTTTGACAAACTTGGATAAAGGTATTCTCCCTTACTAATTCTTTTAGAAGAAGATGAAATCGACAAAATGTAAGGTCTCTCATAACCGATAGGATGGATAAGTACTCCAACCTCAAAGTAAGAATGGGGAAGTGTAAAGACAAGGTCCTCAGCAAGGGAAATACTAGGAAACATATCTTAGTCCTCAGAAAGAAACAAACAAAAATATCTGAAGTTGTTGACCAAGAAGAGGCTGAAAAGATTAAGGATTTTAAATAAATACGAGACAACGATGAAAAGTGCCATAAAAGGCCTAGCCAAGGCAATAGGTAAGCTTATGTAATGATCCTGTAGTCCTGGCAAGGAATAAGACCACTCATGAGGTAGAAGACTTCACTCCAAAGAGGAAATTGGGTGAAAGAAATCATAGCAAGAAATTAATAATACGTGGAACAACATCTAGCTCCAATTTGCACGTTTTGGAGGACAACCCTAAAAACATTCGGAAAATTTCTAACAACAGGCTACATATATCTCAGAAGAGAAGAGAGTATATTTCACATAAGAGACCAAGAGCTGTGCAGAGTATGAACGCATTAAGTCTATTATCAGAGGACTCATTTGTCCCAGTTATATAATGCCGAAGTCAATAAAGTTAAAATATTATGGGGTTTTGGGGTTTTGGGGTTTTGGGGTTTTGGGGTTTTGGGG